GAGGACAGTTGAATTCTGCATTTCTAAAGGAGAAAACAACCAACAAAGTCTGCTTTTTGTTATTTTAGTTGAAATTATTTATTGTGTATGAGTCAAAATCAGTGTCTTATATTTATATTAGAGGCCTGGTGCACAAAATTTGTGCATGGGGGGGGGGTAGGCCCACAGCCTCGCCTGCACCCTCTCCAATCCAGAACCTTTCAGGGGATGTCTGACTGTCGGTTTAGGCCCGATCCAGCAGTCAGACATCCCTCTCACAATCTGGGGCTGCTGGATCCTAACCACTTGCCTGCCTGCAGGTCTGATCACCCCCTAACTGCCCTCCCTTGCCAGCCTGATAGGCCCCTAACTGCCTCTGTCTTGGCCTCTGGCACTGTGGCTTTGTCTGGAAGGACGTCCAGAAGATGTTTGGTCTAATTAACATATTACCCTTTTGTTAGTATAGATGGAGAGAGAGAGGTAAGAACAGGTGTGGGCAAACTTTTTGACTCGAGGGCCACAATGGGTTCTTAAACTGGACCGGAGGGCCGGAACAGAGGGGTGGGCAAACTTTTTGACTCAGGGGCCACGATGGGTTCTTAAACTGGACTGGAGGGCCGGAACAAAAGCATGGAAGGAGTGTTTGTGTGAACTAATATAAATTTAGAGTTAACAGCATTACAAAAAAGGGTACGGTCTTTTTTTTTTTTTTTTAGTTTTATTCATTTCAAACAGGCCGGATCCGGCCCGTGGGGCGTAGTTGGCCCATGGCTGGGTAAGAGAGACACATCAATTGGTTGCTTCCCAAACATGTCCAGACCAGGGCCAGAAATTGAAACTGTGACCCTTGATGCATGGGTCAACGCTCTAATCACTGAGAAACACTGGCCAGGGCTGGAAGTTGCCACTCTGTCCAACATCTTTCCATTCCCCTATGCTGCCTGTGCTGAGGATCATTCCACTCTATGTTTCTATGAGTTTGGAATTTGTAGACTCCACATATAAGTGAGAACATACAGTATCTGTCTCCCTCAGTCCCATTCATCTCACTTAACACAATGCCCCAAGGCCTCACCCATATCAGAGCTGGCAGGATTTATGCCTTCGTGGCTGAATGGTATTCTTGTATTATATGCACTCAGAAAATGGCAAATGCCACAGACTAAGAAGTGATGATTTTCAGAGGCAGCACAGCACAAGGCTGTCCCATCAAACACTGATATGCCAAATCCAAGTGATATCACTATTGGGGAAGTAGCACAGTTGACATCTGATGATGACTGGAAGGAATGTGAGGTCCAGAGAGGGGCATAGGCATCGTTTTGGATTCTCTTTTCTAGGTTTGTATCTAATTTTGCCCATTTGTTTAGTTACCGAATCCAAGCAAAGTCCTCTGAACAGAAGAAAGGAATCAATTATCTTCATCTGGTCACGTGGAGATAAAAAGTAACTAATATGGTATCACGTAAAAATAGACAGATATTGTACAATAGAATTGTACAGTTGAAACTTGTACAATTGATTAAACAATGTCACCCCAATAAATGTAATTTTTCTTTTTTAAAAAAAGTGGAGGAGAGCATGAGGTGTTAGATGTGCGGACCCACACCTGCCATGTGGGATGATCCTTCAAATCACAGGGGTGAGGAAAGAAGTGGGGGTCATTACAGAAAGTCAACCAAGACATGGAGAGGAAACTGGAAACTCACATTTAATGGAGGAAAAAGCTGGTCCAGGGGGAATTGGACATTTCCTGCACCAAACCATGTTCATTCCATTCGTAAAATCAGCAGGGAGTTCCCCCAACTTGCCTTCAGCACGTCCTGGGGTCCTCAGATGGGCTCCAAGGCTCCCCCACTCCGAAAAAGTGCATTGTTCCCTCTGGGTTCACCTCCTGGCTGCATCCTGGGTCCATCTCTGGCTGTTTCAAGCCTGAAAGAGCAGCACCCCGAGTGCCACCAGGACCAAGCCAGCCACGCCCATCCGGATGAGATTCCCCACGGTGTAGTCTTGGGGGTGGGAGGCTGGGAATTTGGAAAAACAGGTCACAGAGGCCAGGGCCCTGGATATCCACCCAGAGCACCCACCTCCCCTTGACAGGACATGACCCTCTAATCCCAGCCCCATAACTAAGGGTTTCTCCTACTCACCAATCTTGGAGTCTGAGTTGTTTGGTGATGGGCGGAGGGTGTCATCTGCTCCTGAGAATCATGACATGAGGGTGTGAGTGAGGACCTGGGGAGACAGGAGCCTTCCTCCTGGGCCCTGTGCTGTCAGATACCCCACTTCTCAGATCATAGCTTTTGCACCGTCCCTCACCCCCCAGCCCCACAGCAGGAGCAGCAGAGTTGGGAGCCTAACCAGGGCTGATCCACCCTGTTCCCTCCTGAGCTGAGGGACAGGACCTGGGTGCCCGGACCCTTGTCCTGCCTGTCCCTCCCTGTACAGTGTCACCATCACTGATGCAGAGGGGATAGGCCCCATAACATCACGACTTGGGGGCTTCCCTGTGGTGCCCCCTCTCCCAGGAGGTCAGGGCCAGAACTGACAGGAAATCTAAGCTCTGGACAGTGACCTCTCCCTTACACTTGGAGACACACAAGGGAAAAGATGTGTCCAAATCAGAGGTAACTGAACCCTCTGCATGACTCAGCCCCCACCCCCCATGGACACACCCACCACCTCCCCACAGAGACCCTCACTTACCTCTCTGAAGGCCTGACACTGTGGTTGTGGGTGTCCAATTCTCAGTGGGTCCTGGGGATCAGGATGGAAAGTGAAGTGTGGGAGCTGCCGTCTCCTCACTTAACCTTGGCTGGGCCCCAACATCTCCCTCTGCCACAACCATCCCTCCCGTCACCTCCCAGCAGACCTTTGAATCCCTGTGGTCCCACAGAATCCTCATTTGACACCCAGCAGCCCTAAGACACAAGCCTTAAATATTTGAGGGGCGACTGGACCCCCTGAGAGACTCAGAACTTCTTGGGTCATCTGTGTTCCCTCTGATCAGAGTTCAAGGTGACTCATCAGGCCTGGTAGGCAGGGTAGGGGCCCCCATCGGGTTTTAGGAATGAGCACAGGAAGAGTTTGAGGGACTGGGGCTAAACCTCATTCCCAAATTACCCAGATTATCCTCTTGCATGTGCCCTGTAGCCTCCCTAAGACCCCCCGCTCCCACGGGCACCTTTCACACCCCACGTGAGGCAGAGAGGTGGGTGAAAGTCGAAGGGTTTCCAAGGAGCTGATCTCTGTGGGGTGACCCTTTCCAGAGAACCCTGTCACTTTGCTTTCAGCCCGTATTTCTCTCCTCGGGACAGCACCTCGAGGTCACAAAAGTTAAAGTCACCTGAGCCCGGGAGCTCCATTGGCTCACTGGTGTGTGACCACTCCTGAGGGTCCTTCCTGAAATAGTGGTCGCACATGAATGTCCAACTGAGGTGGAAAGTCCCCTGAGGGCCAAAGGCCCTGTGGTGAAGGCCTGGGGCCAAAATGGGTTGGGGCTGTTTATAGGGGTGTGGCATTGAGTCCAGGATCCAGGAGACGTTGTGATCTCCTTCCTTCCTCAGAGCCAACCAATGAAGTCCCTCTTGTGAGGTACACGGGAGAATCCTGGACCCTCCTGAAGTCACAACAGCTCTTGACATAGCTGGGAGTCTGTGTATTGTGTAGAATCCTAGGAGAGAAGGAGTGCACGTGTTAGATGGGGTCACAACTCCCTCGCATCCCCCAGGGCTTGGCTGCAGAGGGAGACACCCTGAGAGCAGACCCCCTTCCTGAGGGCAGAGCCTGAGGCTGGGACCCCTGAGTGTCCTCTCACCTGTCACCACCAGCTCCAGGGGGTCACTGTGCTCTGACCAGCCAGCAGGACTGAGACAGTTACAGCGATATCTCCCTGCAGAATGCTCTGTCCTATGTGTGGACTTGCCCTTGTCTGTGGTCTCCTGTGGGGTCTCTTCACCCCAGGGCACATGTTTTCCTTCTCTATACAGATTGAAAATAGGGTTCTTCTTGAAGCCCTGACACCAGAGCTTCAAGGGTGTCTGCCAGGACTTCACAGAGCCTGGGCGAGCACAGATGGTGGGTTTGTGAACTTTCCCTGTAAGGAAAGCAGAGGTGCATTATAAGCACCCTCCCCACCTATCATTCCCCAGGTGAGCTCAAGGTCCTCCTGTTTTACCACCTCATCCCAGGACCTCTGTGCTCCCTCCTGAGCCCCAGGGGTGAAGTAGGAGGAGGGACATGGAACATGGGGAGGACTCACCTGCCTGCACTCGGGTCCTCAGGCCCAGACTCAGCCCTGGAAGAGAGTCTCTGTCAGAGATTTGCACCAGGACGTCAGAGCTGATTGTCTCTGATCACGACCCCAACCATGTGAACTGCTTAAGCCTGAGGTTCCCCATGAGCTATAGCTAATGAGTCTCCTCTCCCTTCCTGCTCTCCCTCCCTATGTCCACAACTGACCGAGGCAGAGAAGAGCAGAGAGGATGGACGTCATGGCACCTGCTCTAAGGGCTCCTGCTCTGCAGATGGAGGAGGCCTGGGCCTGAAGGACAGAGACGCACAGGATGTGGTGAGTCAGGAGCTGCTGCCACCCTTCTGGCTTCCCTCAGATGTGGACCCACAGCAAATGGGTGGCCCCGCCGTGGGTGGCTCTGAGTTTCCCCAGGATGAGTGCTCAGGGGAGTCCAGGCCTCTGGAGACACAGCTCAGCTCTGAGGTCTCATCTGACTTCCAGGACTCTGGTCTGAACATCTGCTCCAAGAGGGCCGGTGCCTGTTCTTGGTTGGAGGCAACCCCTGACTGGCTGGCTCTAAAGAGGGCAATCACGTACCTTCTCCGCCACCACAAGTGGAATTTACTTTCTTTCTTGGACTCGTCCATAAACAAATATGTATCGCCTTCTACTTGCCAGGTATTTAATCCAGGTACCAGAAATACAACCATGATCCAGGAGACACACTGCCTGTATTTTGAGAACTCAGACAAGTAGACTAGGACATTCTAAGGCTAATGTACGAATTAATTATTTACAAAAAGGAAATTTAAAAAGAACTGTATGAGAACAGCTGGGACCTTGTCTAGACTGTGTTTGAAGGATGGGCTGTGTGCGTAGGTGGAGACCTAAGAGGTGGATGAGAACATTGTAGAGAGGAAAGAATGTTCTAGAAGCCCCTGGACACATACAGACTGTCTGAATTGTCTGAAAGGGTGGAAGAGAGAGGGAGGGGTGTGGTGATCACCTCACAAGGACATTGATGAGGTGTTTATCACAAAAGGATATCCTTAACCATTTTATTCATTAGCTTGGCACTGGAATATTAAGCATGTAAGCCAAATAATTGTTTTGACTTTCACATGGCAGAGAGCTATGTTAAAATCAATATTTGATTGTAGAGTTTAGGAAAACTACACAGGACAGTTCAGAGATGTGGCTCAAGTCAGACCGTCAGCACCTGCTATTTTTGGGGGGTGAGGAGAGCTGGTCCACTTCCTGTGTGACCAGCACCTTGTGCCCTGCACACACTGTGGTGTGGGGACTCTGCCCACCACATCCTGTGAACTTGCCTCTCGACATTCACCTTAACAACTGAAAAATAAGTCATCAAAACCTCTGCTATAAAAACTTCCACAGGAAGTTCATCCCTTTTCCTGATGCATAAAGAGAGCGAACTTGTTACCACAAAGTGAATTCAAAGTTGTCATCACAGAATCCACAAGCCAGGGCAGCTCACCTTCTTTGAAGAGGTCGAGCTGACACAGACCTGGTACAGCCTTGACCAGGAATGTGGGTGTGTATCTAGGAGGTTTATCTTAAGACCATGGGCCACCACCATCTCCCCTAATTCTGCCCTATTTTGTATGTTCATCCTGAGACGTGCTGTGAATTCAGAACTGGGCTGTGGACAGCTCCAGTCCCATCCATAGGGCACCTAGATATGTTTCTTTCCTAAAGTCTCTTCAATTTCATGTAAAAGGGGCAAGAACTATGAGTATATGACGTCCATGTGTTTTATGTAGAATGTTTTCTAGATCTTTATTTTTTAAAGGGTTTACCTTCACTACAAGTGTCTTTAAATCTTACATAGGTATTTTATCCTCTTCCTGTGTTTAGCACAAAGAGCATGTTCATCCCTGGCTAGTTTTTCTCAGTGGTTAGAACATCAGACCACACTCAGAAGGGTCAGGGTTTTGAGTCCCAGTTAAAGGCATGTACCTGGGTTACAGATTCGATACAGCCCCTCTCCAGGCATGTGTGGGAGGTAATCCCTCAATACATCTCTGTCACACTCATGTTTCTCTATCTCCCCCACCCCTTCCTCCCTCTCACTCTCTCTGAAAAAAAGAATCAATTGAAAAAATATCCTTGGCTGAGTGTTAAAAAATAAGTAAAAAGCCCTAGTGGGTAGAGTGTTAGCCTGTGGAGTGAAGGGTCCCAGGTTGGATTCTTGTCATGGGCAAATGTCCGGGTTGCAGGGTTGATCCCCAGTGTTTGTCATGCAGGAAGCAGTCTCTGTCATCATTGATGTTTCTATCTCTCTCTCTTCCTCTCCCCCTCCCTTCCTTCCCCCCTCCCTTCCTCTCTGAAATCAACAAAAAGTATTTTAAAAAATAATTAAAATAAATTAATAAAGGGCCAACACACAAAACTTACATTTTCAGCCACTCACCCACAGGCAGAGGGAAGATGTGAAGACTGGACTCACCCACGGAGAGTCTGGGGTGTCTGGCTTTGGGGAGAGGTGTGGAGGCGTGGCGACCCGGACCCGATGCTAGAGCATCCACCAATACCACAGCTGTCATTCTTCTTGGGCGGAACAATCGATCCACTCCAAGCAGCATCAGCCTGAGGAAAAGCACTCCACCTGCCCAGCCCTGTGGAATACTCCTCGCCCCACCCAACACTTGAAGTCCTACTGAGGGGTCAGCAGCATAGGCTGGGGCTCAGAAGGCTGGGCAATGGCAGGGGTTGTCAGTGAGTTGCTTTGGGATGGGGCCATTCCCCCCACTTTCCAGGGAGCTCATG